TGAAAAGATAAGAGGGAGTGAGAGATAGATAAATAGGTAGAGAGAGAGAGAGAGAGAGAGAGAGAGAGAGAGAGAGAGAGAGAGAGAGAGAGAGAGAGAGAGAGAGAGAAGAGAGAGAGAAAGAGAGAGAGAGAGATTCAATGAAACAAAAAAAAAAAAATAGAAACAGAAGAAGAACGAAACAAAGAATCACTAAAACGAAGAAAATGAAACACAAACATAAGAAGCGAGAGAGAGAGAGAGAGAGAGAGAGAGAGAGAGAGAGAGAGAGAGAGAGAGAGAGAGAGAGAGAGAGAGAGAGAGAGAGAGAGAGAAAATATATATATATATCTAATTAATTGCTGGCGTACATCTGGGTCCACTTGCGAGCGTTCCTGATGTAGGAAGCCTTGTCCCTGAGGTATTCCTGGCGGAGGTCCTCCCGAAGGCCATGGGCGGGGTTCGGGTCGTTCATCAGGGCTCCGATCACCACCAGCACTAAGGGCCAGAAGGAGGAAGTAGAAGGAGGTAGAGGTAGAAGGGAGTAGAAGGAAGTAGAGGTAGAAAGGAGTAGAAGGAGGAAGTAGAAGGAAGTAGAGGTTAGGGGTAGAAGGGCCAGAAGGAGGAAGTAGAAGGAGGTAGAGGTAGAAGGGAGTAGAAGTAGATGTAGAAGGAAGTAGATGTAGAAGGAAGTAGAGGTAGAAGGGAGTAGAAGTAGATGTAGAAGGAAGTAGAGGTAGAAGGAAGTAGAGAAAGGAAGTAGATAGAGGTAGAAAGGAGTAGAAGTAGATGTAGAAGGAAGTAGAGGTAGAAGGGAGTAGAAGTAGATGTAGAAGGAAGTAGAAGTAGAGGTAGAAAGGAGTAGAAGTAGATGTAGAAGGAAGTAGAGGTAGAAGGGAGTAGAAGTAGATGTAGAAGGAAGTAGAAGGGAGTAAAAATAGAAGGAAATAGAAGTAGATTTAGAAGGAAGTAGAAGGGAGTAAAAATAGAAGGGAGTAGAAGTAGATGTAGAAGGAAGTAGAAGGGAGTAAAAATGGAAGGAGGTAGAAGTAGATTTAGAAGGGAGTAGAAATAGAAGTAGAAGGAAGTAGAAGTAGATTTAGAAGGGAGTAGAAATATAAGTAGAAGGAAGTAGAGGTAAAAGGAAGTAGAAGTAGATGTAGAAGGAAGAAGATGTAGAAGGAAATAGAAGTAGAAAGGAGTAGAGGTAGAAGGATGTAAAAGGGAGTAGAAATAGAATGTGAAGGAAGTAGAATGATGGCCAGTAGAAGGAAAGGCGGGTTTGTGAAAGTAAAAAAAGAAAAGAAAAATATGAGGGATAATAATAATGACAATGATACTAGTTATGCTTATGAGTAATGATAATGGCGATGATAATGATGTTAATGAAGATGGTAAGAATGATAACAATGGCATTCATAATAATAGCGACAACAATATGAATAATAATTATTATACTTATCATTATCTGTGTCTATTATCATTATCATAAAATCTCTTATGTGAAATAAAGGGCAACAACAAGAACAATAATGATAATAGTGATAATACATATACTATAAATAATGATAAAAAATCAATAATCATATCATTAATGACAATAATAAGGAAAAAAAGAAGGATGGTAATAATGATAATGATAATTATGATAAAAATAAAAATTACAATGGCAACAGCAACATAATGATAAGAACACTTCTACTAATAATTGCTGGGGAAATATTAATACTCATGGCAAAGAAATAAAAGTAAAAATAAATAGATAAAAAATAATAATAAACAAATATTTCAGGCTATTTCTATTTTGCTCCATTTTTAGAACCCCAATGAAAACCAAGAAACAGTCTCGGAGGGAATCCTATGAAAATCCTATGAAATCCTTTGAAAATCGTATGAAATCCAATGAAAATCCTATGAAATCCTATTAAATCCTATGAAAATCCTTTGGAAATCTTATGAAATACTATGAAAATCTTATTAAATCCTATGAAAATCCTACAAAAATCCCATGAAACCCTATGAAATCCTACAAAAATCCTATGAAATCCCGTGAAATCCTATGAAAAAAAAATCCATGAAACCCTATGAAATCCTACAAAAATCCTATGAAATCCCTGAAACCCTATGAAATCCTATGAAACCCTACAAAAATCCTATGAAATCCTATCAAAATCCCATGAAATCCTATGAAAATCCATGAAAAACCTATGAAATCCTACAAAAAATCCTATGAAAACCCATGAAATCCTACAAAAATCCTATGAAACCCTATGAAATCCTATCCATGAAATCCTATGAAAATCCCATGAAAAACCCTATGAAATCCTACAAAAATCCTATGAAACCCTATGAAAATCCCATGAAACCCCATGAAACTCCTATGAAAATCTCATGAAAAATGAAGCAAACCCCACCTTTGGACAGGGAGATGCCGGGACTCCATTTGCTGTGTAATATATCCAAGCATATTCCTCCTTGCGTGTTTATATTCATGTGGTAGATTGGCGTCGTGAATTTGATC